AAAAGGAATCCCCCCTTACCCAGAACGTGCAATTGCAAGCCTCCTCCGAAAGCGGGCAGCGGGAAAGCAACTCACAGTCAACCCTAAACCCTAAACCCTAAACCCTAAACTACTAAACCCTAAACCCTAAACCCTGAACCCTAAACCCTAAACCCTAAGCCCTAAACCCTAAACCTTAAACCCTAGAAGCCCTAAACCAAAACAGATTGTCAGGCTACCAGCCGCCAAGATCACCAGCCACCAGAAGCTCAGGCTAACTCTGAACCCAGGATTTGGGGAGCTGGTGCTCAGGCAACTTCAAGCTCCCTACATGCTCCAACCGTATACCATCCTAAATCCAATCAAACCCTAAACTGAAGACCGGCCCCCTTTCCAGCGATAGGGGCCGGTCGTTAGCAGGCCACCGGCAGGGGCCTGCGGACCCGTAGGCGAAGGCCGAAAGGCGAGCCGTAGGGTCCTGGACCTTAGGTCCACGCGGCGCTCGAATAGGCCGCTTCTGTCAGCCTATATAATAATAACCCTAAACCCAGCGCCAAACGACCGGGCAGGCTTGAAAACCTCCTAAGGCCCGGAAGCTTAAATCAAGAGTTTGGGAGCCTCAAATTAAGGCCCGGAGGCTTAAATTAAGGGTTTGGGAACCTAAAATTAAGGCCCGGGGGCTTCAATTCAGGGTTTGGGAGCCCACCTTTAAGCCCTACCTTCAAGGCCCGAAAAGGCTTTAAATTAAGGGTTTGGGAACCGAAAATTAAGGCTTGGAGGCTTAAATTAAGGGTTTGGGAACCTAAAATTAAGGCCCGGAGGCTTAAATTAAGGGTTTGGGAACTTAAAATTAAGGCCCGGAGGCTTAAATTAAGGGTTTGGGAACCTAAAATTAAGGCCCGGAGGCTGAAATTAAGGATTTGGGAACCTAGAATGAAGGCCCAGCGGCTTAAATTACGGGCTTGGGAACTTAAAATTAAGGCCCGGAGGCTTAAATTAAGCCAGGAGGCCTAATTTGTGGATTTGGGAACCTACCTTTTTAAGCTCGGAGACTTAAATTATGGGTTTGGGAACCTAAAATTAACGCCCGGAAGCTTAAATTAAGGGTTTTGGATTAAGGGTTAGGAACCTAGAATTAAAGCCCGGAGGCTGAAATTGCGAGTTTGGGAATCTAAAATTAAGGCCCGGAGGCTTGAATTAAGGGTTTTGGAACTTAAAATGAAGGGTCGGAGGCTTAAATTCAGGGTTTGGGAACCCACGTTTAAGGCCCGGAGGCTTAAATAAAAGGTTTGGGAACCTGAGAAAATTAGGCCTGGAGGCCTAAAATAAGGGGTTTGGGAACCTAAAATTAGGGCCCGGAGGCTTAAATTAAGGGTTTGGGACCTTAAAATAAAGGTCCGGAGGCTTAAATTAAGGGTTTGGGAACTTAAAAGTCAGGCCCGGAAGCTTAAATTCAGGGTTTGGGAATTTAAAATTAAGGCCCGGAATTTAAAATTAAGGCCCGGAGGCTTTTTTCAAGGGCTTGGGAACCTAAATGGAGGGTCGGAAGCTTAAATTAAGGGTTTGGGAACCCACGTTTAAGGCCCGGATGCTTAAATTAAGGGCTTGAGATCCTAAAACCATCTCAAGGGTTGGGGAACCTCAAATTAAGGCCCGGAGGCTTAAATTAAGGGTTTGGGACTTTAGAAACACAGGCCCGGAGGCTTAACTTAAGGGTTTGAACATGCTTTGAAAGTTTGCTAAGACCACGGAGTGGAATCGAGTCGAGCCTGCTGCTTTTGCCGTCGCCAATCCTGAAGGGCTTGAAAGTCTTCCAGGGACCACGGAGTGGAATCGAGTCGAGCCTGCCGCTTTTGCCGCAGCCAATCCTGAAAGGGCTAAACGTCCAGCCTTGAAAAGGTTTCGAAGAGCTGCCGAGTGGAAACGAGTCGAGACTGCTGACGGTTGCTCATTTTGGGGGTTCTGCTCTACCAAACCATATATCCCCCCTTGATAGGGGGGTAGGGGGGTAGACAACCCTAAACCCGTCCAAGGTTTGTATTTTGGGTGGGAGGGCGGGCGTTGCAGCTCATGCGCCGACCCCCAACCACTTCATGGAGGGGGTCGAAGCGCACTCGCAGCGAAAACCCTAAACCCTAAACCCTAACCCTAAACCCTAAACCCTAAACCCTAAACTACTAAACCCTAAACCCTAAACCCTGAACCCTAAACCCTAAACGATGAACCCTAAACCCTAAACCCTAAACCCAACACTCTCCAACCCTATAGCCCCATCACTCAGGATGCTGCTCGGCGCTCTCTCTGTGGAGATTGTCGAGGCTCTGCTGCTGTCGATCAAGCCCTGGCGGGTCTCTTGCGGGTTTCGGGGGTTGGGGTTCAGGCTCGAAAGCACTAAACCCTAAACCGTAAATCCTAAACCCTACCCTATAGATAGACCTTCAACGTTTAGGGTGCAGACAGGTATACGAGCTACCAACGCTCAAGGCAAGCCTTCTGTGGACCCTTTGGGCCAAGAACCCAGCAGGGCGACTCGTTGCGGTTCGTTGGGTGGAAAAAAAAGGGGTCCTAACCCCTGCGCAAAGGAACAAGGCTACTACTGGGCACTCTAGAGTAGAGCAGGCGCAAGCTCACCTTCCGGCACCTGAGTGCGAACACTGAACACGCTGAGCGGATGTAGGTACCCTTTGCAGTCCTTGCTCCAGCGCATGCAGCGAGCGTCGATCGACATTGAGTTCCTCCACAGAACTCACGTTGATGCAGCATAGGGGCTCGCAGTTAGACTGGGTACTTTGGGTACAGCGGGCATAAGTCTGGTGCATCGAAACGGACCAGGAGTGATTTGTACACACCCAAATTCCGAATCGAAGGTAACACGAGAGCGATTTGATGGTCTGTATAGCTATTCACCATGTTAGAATGGGTCCTTTGGGTGGTGCGGCGAAAGCCTAGCGACGCCAAGAAATGAAGAAGATGTCATCATAAACACACAGGGTGTTGTGTGGGATTAAAATTGGCAAGTATTTCGGCTCCTGTAGAACGCGAACCTTCGTTGAAACAAGCCTGCCTTGGACCCTTAACGGATACCTGCTGCTGCATGGGAATCATTGCAGAGGACCGTCGAAAGGCAAAATAGTATCTACGACTAAACCCTAAACCCTCTAAACCCGAACCGAAACCCGAAACCCTAAACCCTAAACTGAAGGTGTGGATGGCTTCGGCTTGGGGCTTTTCGGCGGGAGGGTATAGGGTCTTTAGGGGGCAACACACAGAAACATCAGGTCCAGGCTAGGGTTTAGGGTTGATACTGTATAAGCCGTAAACCCTAGGCCCATTCAAACCCTAAACCCTAAACCCTAAACCCTGCAGGAGGATCTCCTGGTAGCCTTGATCCACACGGCGCTGCAGCTCAGTCACCTGCTCCGTCTTCTGAGCCACAGCCTGGCAGAGCAGCGGCCAAAGACAGCTCTGGGACTCCCGAGAAGCCGAAATGTCCCTAGGGTTTAGGGTTTAGGGTTTAGGATTCAGGGTTTAGGGTCAAGGTTTAGGGTTTAGGGTTCAGGGTTTAGCGAGAGGAGGGAGACCCTTGAACCCGAAAAAGACACCCCCTCCGGCCTGAAGACCCCAAACCCTAAGTAGGCTGCTCATCTACATCTCACTCGAGAACCTGCACGGAGGGCGGAGGGGGGAAGAGCAGTCCATAGGATCCCCCTGGCGGAGGTCAGACATCCCAAGAGCCTACCTAGGCAATATCGCCCCTAGCCCATGAATATGAGTCGGCTCCGAAAGGATTTGGGGCTTTGCTTTTCTGGCTTCAAGACTGGGGCCCCCTATTGGAGCATCTTAGAACCCGAAAACCTGAAGGCTTCCTTTGCTAGGATGCCCCTAAAAACCCTCAGAAACATATAGATTCCTACAGATTCCTACATAGGAGCCTCATAAACCCAACAAAGGGTAAATATAAGAAACATCCCCAGGGCCTACCTAGCTTGATGCTATTTTATCGGTGACCGATGCGGAAGCCTTGATCCCCCTCCCCCCCCAACTCCAAAAGACAAAACTTGCACAAAGAAAGCGAGGTGCCACGGGCCCCTCTGCGCCTTTTCTGCCCGAGCCAGAAAGCGATGGCCATGCCAGTAATTGGCAAGCAGCCGCAAAACAGAACATCTACACCTGCTTCTTGTGCGGCTAACCATAACTGTACCAGATTTCAGGGGGGAACCCCAACTTCCGATGTCAAGTGTTTGCTGTCTGCACTGAAAGCACTGCAGCTCAGGAGAAGAAGAAGGACTTGACACAGTACCTCGTCCATACTCTCTCATCGGCAAGGAACCCCAAGACAAATACATCCTTCAATGCCAGAAAAAGTTGACCAAACCCCAACCCACCTAAACCCTAAACCCATATCCCCAAAGCCCCAAACTTTAATCCCTAAACAACAGCCCAGTTACAAGCCATAGTTGATCAGGATGATGGCAGTGATCAGCACCGCCTCGGAATTTCAGAGCTCGGCGTCGAAAGTTGGGATTTGAGCAGGGGTGCCCCAAAACCCTATAGAAACCCACACCTCGAAACCCCAAACCCAATAAACGCCGAACCCCGTAAACCCTATAAACCCTAAACCCGCCCGAAACCCCAAACCCATAAAAGCCCTAAACCAAAAACCCTAAACCCTATGAACCCCAAACGCCTGCTTTGGGTCACTGAGTGCCCTCTCGTCGAGAAAAACAGCCTGGAAATCCATCGCCACATGATGCCACGCAGTTTAGGGTCCAGGGCCACCCTGACCCTTGCAGGGTTTAGGGTTTAGGGTTTAGGGTCTAGGGTTCAGGGTTTAGGGTTTAGGGTTTAGGCGACCTTAAACCCAAGCCGAAAAGTCCTCCAACCGTCCTGCGAGATTTTCAGGCTTTGGGTGAAGGAGCCAAAGTCCTCGCCTGCTCAAGAAGAGTCAGTGGTTCAGGGGTGCAGGTCTGGGGGCTGCCCTGCTATTCCATGAAAAAAAACATGTCAAGCTTGACCGTATGCTACACGCTGGAAAGTCGCCCTGCCTGCACCGTGATAAACTTCGACCATTTCGCAACATCGGTGCCAAAAGCCTCGACGTCAGGTCTGTTTCGGCTGTCTCCAACGGGATGTAGATTTGCGGTTTCCGGGCCCGGGTTTGGGATATGTAGGCAACTAGGACTGGCACTAGCGAACAGCTTGTGCGATTGCGGACGGGTTTGCGGGGCTTGGGGTTTAGGGTGGTTCACATCGTGTTGGGGCTTGCTCAGCGCATCGTCATGGCTTCAGGTTTACTTACCTTCCCCGCGAATTTGAACCCTCCATCATACTAACAACCGGCCACCTCAGCCATGAACTCAGCCCGAAACCTCAAGTCCCAGCCCCAAACACCTAGCGCGAAGATTCTTGTCACAACGGAGGCTTGGGTTCGATTCTATAGCTATACTCTTTTTTGAGTTGAGAGTGCCAAAGATGGACCATAATTGAGACGACCGCCCCTTCACAACATCTTAACTTATCCGTCTGAGTCACGTCCATGAACGCATACGGCCACTTTCCCGTCAGCTGGTAGTTGCCAAAGAAGACGGCGACGTACACCACAACTCGGCATCCACAAACTGACGCAATTGCACCGGCCCCCGGCCCTTGCGTCACCCGATGCAAGGGACCCTCAAAGCCGCAGAAACGCAGTACGCAATCAGCCAAGAGGCACGACTTACTCCCTCAGTTTCAGAGCCGAGACAGTTCAACATTCGACATTGCAACAACCAAAATCCCCAACGTCATCAAACATGTTTAAGCTTTAAGGTTCCTCCCGAGAAGACAAAAGTGCCATGTTGGAGACCCCGGTAAGGAGGCGCCCTCCTTACCAATTACGGCTGGGATCGGCTGGGAAACGTGTGGCACCAGCCGTATAGGCTTTAGCGCGTGCAGGGTTGGGACTTAGGGTTGTTTAACCCTAAACCCTAAACCCTAAACCCTAAACCCTAAGCCCTAAGCCCTAAACCCTAAACGCTGTGAAGCTAGCGTTAGGGGCTTCTTGTCGGAAGCCTGGTTGTGCCTGAGGATCCATGTGGGCTCAGCGCCGGACCGTAGAAAGCCTCCGGGAGAACAAGGGCTTCAAGGGTTTAGGGTTTAGGGCTTAGGGTTTCGGGTTTAGGGTGAGTTGAAGGCAACAAAAGGACACATAAGTTTAGGGCTTTAGGGCTTCAAGGGTCTTTCATGTGCTTGAGGGGTGTTAAGGGTTTGGAGTTTGGGGTCAGGGTTTGGGCGTTCGGGATGACGATAAGGAGGCTGGGTGCTGAGGGCTTCTGGGACTCATGAGGCTTAGTATGACAAGTGTACTGACGTTTCGGATTCTGAGGTGTCAAGGGGAAATCCCTAAAACCTTCCATCCGGAAACATTCCTAGCCGGTATTGAACCCTAAAGCCCGAAAAAGCTGTAAACCCCCAAACCCCAAAACCCTAAAACCCTAAACCCTCTGTCGCCTAACCCCCAAACTCTAAAAACTCTAAAACCCTAAACCCTTCTAACCCCTAAACCCTAAGCCTTAAAAACCCGAAACCCACCAAACCCCCTAAACCCTAAACCCTAAACCCTAAACCCCAAAACCGCCCAGTTTGCTGCCCCCGCGGCCCCGAAGCGCAAGCACGAGAAGACGTTCAGCGAGCGCGCCAGCAGCGCAGAAGGACGAAGGAAAAGGTCCTCCATTAAAAGGGTTTTTTGGGCTTTCGGGGCTTAGGGTGTAGGGGCTGAGGGTTTTAGGGGTTTATGGAATCTAGGGGCTTAGGGTTAAGGAATTTAGGGATGCAGCGCTTTCGGGTCTGTTCCGGTTTGGGGGGTTGAGGTTGGGATGTTCACCTTCATACTAGCACTATGATAATCCCTATTAAGGACTGTTAGCATAGGGGGGTTGAGGGGTTGAGGGGTTGAAGGTACGGCTTCCGCGCTGCTGCGGCCCTTGACCCCCGAAAACCTTACCAGCTCTTACTCGTGAAATCGGGGAATTCGCACCTTAAACACCCCTATATGTAACCCTGTATACCCTAAACCCTAACCCCTATGCAACCCTGTAAACCCCAAACCCCAAACCCAAACCCCAAACCCAAACCCCAAACCCCAAACCCCGAACCCCAAACCTAAACCCCAAACCCCAAACCCTAAACACTAAACCCAAATCATTACGCTAACCCGAAGACCCATACAGCCCCCATCTCAACGCCGATTCCGTGGCCCAGGGTCCAGGGCCCCGATGAAGAAGGGCGGGATGTGAAGAGCCTCGGGTTCGGGTTCCTAAACCCTAAACTCAAAAACCCGAAACCCTTACGAAGAACCTCGAGCTTGCTGACTCTTGGGGCACCCAGAATGAAAAAAATCGCAATAAGGCTGTTGATTCCTACCTAAACCACAAACCCGAAAACCCGAAACGTGCAACGCGGCGCTTGACACCAACATTTCGGGCCGCAGGTTTTTTTCCAGAGCTAGAAGCCCCAAGGCTCAGCAAAAAGCCTCCCCCAACCCCCGCCCCCCCGAGGCAAAGGTTCAGCTTTGAAGGTTTCAGGGTTTAAGTGTGCGCGGAAGTTAAGGGCTTGAGGGTTTAAGCGTTTAGGTTTTAGGGTTCGCCAATTCCATGTCGGCCCAAGCGCATGCTGGACTGGCCCGAAAGCAACGCCACGCCTTGGTTGTCAGAGAGGTCACCGTGGTCATTGACAGGCTTGAAGCTTCAAGGGCGAGGCCTTAAAGGTAAGGCTTTGATGGAGGTTCTGAAGGGCTTAGGGGTGGACCTTCTGTCAGACTTGTATCCAATAACCTGGAAGTCTTGAGGTCCCATGAAAAGATGAAAAGCCTCAACTCCGAACCCGAAACCCCAAAAACCCCAATTCAGCCCCAAATGCCCCCCACCCCCCCCCCCCCCCCCCCCCCCCCAAACAAAAAAAAAAGAGGAAAAACGTAAAGCGCAAATTCTCCCTGCCGCCATGGTTCTCGGCCCACTTCTTGCACTCCTCCTTGAAGCCTTGCGTGGCGATATACGGGAGATGGGAATAGTACCAGCTATGGGATACCCGAGAGAACCCTATTTAGTTGGGCTTTGGACACCCATTATAGCAGCGGAACCTCTATGAGTTGCAGGCTTGTGTGGTTTAGAGTGGTGGCAGCATAGTCCTGTTCGCAAACAAAAACCTCGGCCTGGGTGGGTGGCCGAGGCAAAGCAGAGAGTAGCCCTTGAAGAGCTTGAATGGGAGCCACAGATCCGGCAGCAGCATAGCTTTACTCAGTTTTCCCAGGCTTCCACGTACTCATCTACCCTTGACTGCGGCGGAGTTCGGGCCCCGGTAGAAACTTCAAGCCCTTGGCCAAACTTTATGTTGTTGGGGGCGCGTTGCCTGCCTGTAACTCCTACGTGCCTACAGTTTAGAAATCAACCCTTGCTTTCGTAACGAAAACCGAGGAATGGTAGGTAAGTAGAGGCCCTGGGTTTCAGGGTCGAGATTACAGCCGCTTCGCTGGTGCAGCTGGGGGGCGTTTGGGGGTTCGAGGTTTCCAAGCCCAAAGGAGGTTGTAACGGGCATCGGGGTGCTCAACACCAAACCCTAAACCCTAAACCCTAAAGCCTAAACCCTAAACCCTAAACCCTAAAGCTTTAGCCAAGATGCCGTCCGCAGGAACGACCAGGGAGAAATACTGCATGGTCACGAACCTGAGGCTCGTCCCGTGCTGCACTGATTCGGGGGGTTTAGGGTTTAGGGTGTAGGGTGTAGGGTTTAGGGTTATTTAGGGTTTAGGGATGGGGTTAAGTAGAACAAAGGTCCTGGCAGTTTCTATCTGTATAAGACTGCAGATCTCAAGGCCGTGATGGAACTGGGCCCAAAACCCCCTGAACTTCTGAACCCTATACTCGACAAGCTCTGCGCATCTCTGCGCCTATGCCTGGGCATCCAAGCCAGCCTCCGCACACCCCAAAGACACAGAATCCTTGCAATTCCTGTCAACCCACAATCATCCAACAAGTAGGGACCTTGTATATTTCGAATTCCGGGAGGGTGGTCTGGTAAATCTATGGGGTTTGAGAAGGAAGTTAGGACTTATAGGGCCTAGGCAAACAGGAACAAACCCTAAAACCTACACCCTAAATCCTCAACCCCGACAAAAGGGCCGCTCACATAGAGAACTCAAGCTCTCAGGCCAAGCCGCCAGCCAAGCCCGCCTACGCTGATGCAAAGGCCGTTCCTGGGCCCAGGAGGCGGATGCATTGTTTGGCCATCTTGGAACTTAGGTTTAGGGTTTATAGGGTTTAGGGTTTAGGGTTTAGGGTTTAGGGTTTAGGGTTTAGGGTTTAGGGTTTAGGGTTTGGGCTTAGGGCTTAGGGCTTAGGGCTTAGGGCTTAGGGCTTAGGGCTTAGGGCTTAGGGCTTAGGGCTTAGGGCTTAGGGCTTAGGGCTCAGGGCTTAGGGCTTAGGGTTTGGGACTCTCGGATGGTTCCAAGGATCGTCGCAGCACCCAGCATGGGCGAGAACCTCAAGAGGAGTGCTGTTTATGGCGCAGACGAGGGGTCCAACATAGTGCGAAGAATCTTTCGAGCTTCTGACCTATTCAAGACGAAGGCACATATGCCTAAAGCCTGCAACACAAAGCCTCTGCAAGCCCTAAGGCATGGTGAACCCGAAATCCTCAAATGACTGACCGGCTGATTTATGGTTGAGCATTCGCAGGCCTAGCGGGCCGTTCCATGGTTCAACGTTGCATAAGGATTTGATGAAGAAGCAATGGACTAGACTCCTCAAGATCACCACTCCTTCCCTGCCCCAACAACAAGGAAAAACAATACCCTCCGTCCTGCTTGGGATGTACTGGCTTTGATATGGAGAAGAAGCCAAAGTCTTGCAGAGCCCCAGCGAGGGTGGTGGGATTTCCTCACACTTCTGTTCAGTTCCTCTTTTCGATTGGCCCTGCACCGTTCGGACACGTTCCTAACTTTAACTCATACAGCCAGGGAAAGTTCAACGTATCCCAAGTGTCCTACCTAGTTAGCAGAAATCCGGCTTTGGGGAAGCAACGGCGCAAGGAGCGTCAGCACCTGATGCCAAGCCTGCATGGAGCCACTCCGTTTTCCCCGGCTTTTGGGGCTTGGGACCGCTGAACCCTAAACCCTAAACCCTAAACCCTAAGCCCTAAACCCTAAACGAGAGGATGCCAGGGGTTCAGGGTTTAGGGTTTGAAGGTTTAGGCTTTAGGGTGTTCGGGCTCTTGTGCGCTAGGTCGTTCTCTGTGGCAAGAAACGTCCTCAAGTACCAGGGTTTGGGTTTCGTAAGGAAGCCAAGTCGTCTTTGAGCCTTTAGGGTTTAGGGTTTAGGGTTTAGGGTTTAGGGTTTAGGGTTTAGGGTTTAGGGTTTAGGGTTTACGGTTTCATATGCTTTGAAATCCGAAGTCGGTTCGCTGAGGTGGATCGACAGTTGGGCGTCAGCGTTGCTTGTGCCAGCCGAAAGGACGAGAGTAGAAGTGGCTTCGCGTGAGGGGTTTCGGCGTTTAGCCACACGTGTTGCGGGCTCCTCGCGAGTAAGTATCTGGGGACTGTTCGGACTTCGGGTCCTCTCCTGCACCACCCCAAGTACCCAGGATACCTGAATTGAGGTATTTGGGCATCAAGAAAGAGGGTATTCTGTCGGGGGGGGGGGGGGGGGGGGGGGGCTAGAAGTACAGCAGATGGTCCCTACTACATACAGCCTCTGCACCTGCAGGTGGCAAAGCAAACATTTTCGAAACCGTAAACCCCAAGCAACGGCTTCGCTGTGTTTGTTCTCAAAAAAAGTAAACCCTAAACCCTAAACCCTAAACCTCAAACTCCAAACCTTGAACCCTAAACCCTAAACCCAGAGTCAACCCTTTTTTCTTCTGAAACTGTCACACCCTGCCTGGAAGGCGATGCAGTGTCGTGTTAGGTAGACCCTGGGATGGTTGTGCAATCGCAAAGTTTTGGGTCTGAATGGTTCCTTGAGTTTCTGGTTTAGGGTTTAGGGTTTTAGGGTTTAGGGCTTAGGGTTTAGGGTTTAAGGTTTAGGGTTTGCTGTAATAAGGCGCAGAAGCTGTGAAGGTTGGGATGCAGACGAGCTTCGCAAGCCTAACCTACTTTCTGTTAGGGTTCAGGGCTTAGTGTTCAGACTGCTTCCAAAATACTTCCTCCGTTCAGGGGCTGAGGGGGTCTCGAGCGGGGTTCCAAGAGAGGAGGTCCAGGGCAGAGACAACAACAACCCTAAACCCCTGAATCCTTAACCCCCTAAACCCCTGAACCCCTGAACCCCTAAACCCCTAAACCCCCAAACCCCAAAACCCCAAAACCCCTAAACCCCTAAACCCTGAACCCTCCCCATAGCAAACTTTTCATCCTGAACCAATCCAAGACTCCAGTACCCCAGCTTCCGCTGCACATGGAAGGCATCAGCTTCCTTCCAGACATGCAGGGGTTCAGGGTTTAGGGGTTGAGGGTTGGGGTTAGGATTTAGGGTTTGGGGCTGAGGGTCTGGGAGGTTCAGGAAAGGTTCAAGGTTAGGCTAGGCTAGGGTCTAGGGTTTAGGCGCGTAAGGGTTCAGGGTCCAGGGTTTACGTTTGCGCTTGGGGTTCAGGATTTCTAGGGTCTGCGGCAACGGGTAAGGTTTAAGATCTACTTGCGATGCACATGCTGAACTGGCTTCACATGCGGAGCAAGTGCGATGCTGTGTCTACAAAGCCCCGGATGATGTAATACCCGTGGACAACAGCTTGGGGATTCGTGATTTCGGGTATACAACAGGGCTTGCCCCGAGGCAAGTGGGTTTAGGGCTTCAGGTTTGAGGAGGTTTCCCAAACATCCCAAAAGAATTCAAGCCCCAAGTCGTGAACCCTAACCTCTAAACCCTGAGCCCGAAAAGACAGAGAGGCAACCTCAAAACGAGCATCTGGACTTGGGATGTTCCCCCTTATACTAACAGTCTTTAATGGGGATTACAGTCGGGGTACTCTAATCCCCATTGAGGACTGTTCGTGTAGGGGGAACATCCCAAATCAGGAGTGTGCAGTGTCCTTCGTGGGCTTCGGCACAGCCTTCGATGGTTGGGCGGAGGGGCGTGTTGGGAGAGGTACGAATGCCTGGGTTTCGGGGGACCTCCTCAAGTACAGCATCAGGAGGTTTTTGCTGTAGGCGGTTTAGGGTTTAGGGTTTAGGGTTTAGGGTTTAGGGTTTAGGGTTTAGGGTTTAGGGTTTAGGGTTTAGAAGTTATAGAGGGGGATTCAGATATCAGGTGTTCTTTGTGGAAGCCCCCTACGTCCACCTTAGGCTGTCTTCGGACCCCTGTCGCTTCATTGATAGGAGAACCTATCTTGCAACTTAGGGCTTTGGGAAGAGTACCCAAAACACGCCCTAAACCGCGAACCCCAAACCCCAAACCCTAAACCCTGGACCCTAAACCCTAAACCCTAAACCCTAAACCCCAAACCCTACACCCTAAACCCTAACCCTGCCTGGGAGTGGAGTAACAACACCAGAACGGCCGCCAGCGCGAGAACCAGCCGCAGCACAGTGCACAGAGCATCTGGAGCAACCTGGTTACAACGTGCCCACAAACACCTCGACTCTATACGTCCATTCCCTTTGAAATCCCAAAAGAACCACCTAAACCCTAAACCCCAAACCCTAAATCACCTTACAGGTTGATGAACCTGAGGATCCCCAAAAGGGCTCATGAAACCGAAGCTGAAAAAAACCCAGGAGCCTTGGCCTGAAGCCAAATCCCTATACGCCCTGAGCTTCCACAAATTTCATTTAGAACAACACCCAAAAGATCCCTGAGCTTGAGCCCTTTTTGGACTCTGAACCCTACAACCCTCAACTCCTTTTACCCCTTCAACTATGCCCTTATAACCCTAAACCCTAAACCATGAGAGTCCAGAATCAGCCCAGTGAGCCCGAAACTAAAATGGGTACATACGCCATGGTCATTGGAGGGTTCAGCAGCAAGAAGCTCATTTACTATCTTTTTGTCGGCCTCCTAGTGGTTCTTGGGGACTTCTCTTGGGTTCAGCGTTCGGGGCGCAGTGGGCCTTGAAACCGAACCCTGACTCTGACGCTCTTGCGGAAAGGTGGCCTCATACAGCGCATCCTCCTGCGAAAACCTTGGGGTTCGTGCGCGCTTCTTCATGAAAAGTCTGGGGTCAAGCAGTGTCAAGCAGGTTTGCTCCTTTGGAGGATGGAGTGTTGGCCCCCAAATCACGAAAATCAAGCCCTGAACTTTGATGAGGTTGTTGGCGGCGACGCGCGGTTGGAGGTGAATTCGAGAACTATACGTCTGCCAAAAGCAAGGTGCCTCGAAGTCCTGACGCGTGTGTCAGCTTGGCCAGTTCACTCTCGAGTACCCCATAGAAACATCTCCCGCCGGTTTAGGTTTAGGGTGTAGGGTTTAGGGTGATCAGCGTTTGGGGTTCCTTCGCCGTCAAAGGAGATGCAAAACCCATTCAGAGCTCAATTGCGTTGATCTTGGTACTGTTGACAAATCTTCGAAACATGCAGCGCTGTGGCAGGCACAAATCGAATTGCTTGAAAGAGAAAGGGAGGTCCAGAGGTTTGAAGACGAGCTTGAGACGCGAGACGCCAGATGTCTAGCAGAACACGGTGCGTAACTGAACAGGAGGTTGTGGCAGCCTGCATCCGCAAAGTCCCGAAAGCTCACAACCAATCCCTCAACGAACGCTCACCCTAAACCCTACGCCCTAAGCCCTAAACCCTAAACCCCATAATGCTACCCGGGCGGCAGCTTGCCAAGGAAGAGGTACCACGGGCAGAAAAGGGGGATGCCTCAGGCATTATGTAGTCCCCCCCTAGAAGGGTCATATGCAAGGGCTCATGCAGGGCTCCGAAAAAACTACTATGGGCAAAAAACGGTCTTTGGTGGGGGAGTCGGCAAAGCATGGGCCGATGTTGACAAAGGCAACAGTACCACAAACTACGTTTCGCGTTTCTTTGGGGAACTCAAATGCTAAGCTTTGGCGGGGGCGGGGTGGGGGAGGGCGATTATAAACTACTCTGCCAGTAGAGGCGAGTTAGGTGCCCTAAGCCATTCCTTCATGGGTAAGATAGGGGAATATACGGCACCTAACTGCGCAATTCCCTCCCAGAACAGCCATGTGTAGCTGGGCATCCAAACAGATTTGCAGATTGGGTCTCAAGTTTGAGCAGGATGCCGATCACATCCAGCACACGGAGGTTGGCGGCGTGCTGCCTCTCCTCTGCAGAATAGCCTCGCGGACGAACACTATAGGATTTTTAGGGTCGTTGAGGGTTTTAGGGCTTGGGTTTCCGAAGAGTCCGTAACAAGCACGCAAGACATCAAGTAGCCGACCGTGTCTCTGCTCGTTAAGCTTCTTGGTCTTGTTGCTGCACGCATGACGACAAAACTCTACAGAAGCCACTGCTGAAATTCTGCAGAACTTCTACGAGGGGCCGTCCCAGGCCGTTCCGAAGAGCTCCATGGCTCCAATAATCGGAAGGAACCCCTGAAATTCCAGAATCTCATCTCGCGCTCCTATTCTCGGGTCGTCTTGGGGGGGGGGGGGGGGTTTGGTAAAGATTCCGAAAGCAGATCCGGCTGAACCGGGACAAGGGTCTAGGGTTTCTGTAGGCTTTCGGCCCCTCGTAAACCCTCCTAGAACCCAAGACTTGAAAAGAAGGCTAGCATATCCCAAGAGCCGACCGAAATCTACCTGGTGAAGGAGTCTTTGGTTCATCCCAGGCGACTCTACACTGGTGCATTTCGCTGCATGAGCCTCTGATGGCTGCAGGTGCAGGCGACTTGCCATGAATTTCGAGTCCCCGAACCTTATAGGGTTTAGGGTTGAAAGGATTTATAGGGTTTACAGGGTGTACAGGGTTTGTAGGGTTTACAGGGTTTATAGGGTTTATAGGGTTTAGGCCTTGTACAGCCCCCTAAAAGCGCACCTCCCCACATGCCTCCTTTGGGACCCCCAAGTGGTTTATAGGGTGGGGCGGGCTAAGGGCCCAATCCTCTAAACCCTCGGAGCCAAGAACAAGCTTTAAACTTATTCTACTTGCTGCTTTAGGTCTTAGGATGGCTTCACGTTTAGTATTTCCGGCGGGGGGCCGGGGGGGGGGGGGGGGGGGGGGGTTGGAAAAAAAACTTAAGGGTTCCGCAAGGGTTTAACTTTCAGAAGCATAAGAAGCGGCGCCCTAAAAAAACGCAACATCCGCCTCTTCCTCCGCCACGGCGGCCTTGATCTTCATTTCTTCCTTGCGGGTGGATGTCTTGTAACACTTCTGAGCGGTTCTGCTAAGCCGGCCTTATGAGGGGGTTACGGCTATCCTGGAGCTAAACACGAAACCCTGAACACTGGAACCCTTGTGTTTCCAGGGTTTCAGGACACTGTGACATGTAGCTAGAGCTTCAGTCGCGACGATGTCTCCAGCCTGCGGAAGCATGTATATAGAGGTTTGCAGAGTTTGCGGTGCTTGTACGCAAGCGCAACTGGTGATGATGCTGCTGATGAAGATGATGATGCGCATGTCGGGCTCAATGTTTAGGGTTTACACGTTAAAGGCTGAGGGCCCAGCTGAAAGAAATAGCGGCCAAGAGTCTATCTCTTCATCTGACGGCTTAAGAAGAAACGGCCGCCACGCCTTCGCAGGAGTCGAGTGTGACCCTTGTCCACCCTACAGTCGCAACAATCCTGGTTCAGGACTTGGGGTTTCTTTAGGGTTTAGGGATTAGGGTTTAGGAATCTCTGCGTGGCGGGTTCAGGGTTTAGAGTTTAGGGTTTCCCTTGTTGGCCCAACAAGCCTTCTGCACATGTGAAAGACCTTTCCTGAAGCGCGGAAAACTTCCCAGACCCGCAGCTGTTGAAAGAAGTAACTCTCTGGCCGCCTCACGCAGGAACCGCAGCGAGTTGACGACGTCGGCCGGGGGTGCCTTGTAGGGCTGAGAGGGGCTTCTGGAATTTATAAGGCTTCTGGGAAATGTAGGGCTCAATGGGTTTACAGGGTTTAGGGTTTCGGGGGGACTAGGAGGGGTCAAGAAAACACAGGGTGTTTTTGAGGGCTCTTGTATGCCTCAGAAGTATGTACGGTTGGGCCCCCCAGAGCCACGATCGAGTAACTACACCCAAGCTATGAGGCCGTGCTCAGGGGTCTACTGAGCTACCAGGCTTTGGATGGATATGGGAGCCCTCCTTTTTGCACATGAGTTCCTACGCGTTTCCACTTTGGGTACAGGTTATAGGCCTTTGGGGGAGGTTTTTCATGTCAAACAAACCAACCCTAAACCCCTAAACCCCTAAACCCCTATACCCCTAAACACCTAAACCCCAATACCCCAACAACCCCAGAACACCTCTAAGCCCCTGAACCCGTAAACACCTAAACCCCTAAACCGCTAAACACCTAAACCCCTAAACCCCTAAACCCCTAAACCCCTAAACCGCTAAACCCCTAAACCCCTAAACCCCTAAACCCCTAAACCCCTAAACCCCTAAACCCCTAAACCCCTAAACCCTAAACTCTAGGATCCCTGAAGCCCTGCACACACCCAGTGCCAAACCCTGCCTCTGGCAGGTCGCTCCCGTCCGCCACCGGCTCCATGGTTAGGGGAGGCGAGAGGCAGCCGATTTTTTTTGTGTCTTACTATCTTGATACTCTTGTTGTTAGTATATATAATATTATCTATATATATATATATATATATATATATAGGTAGAGGGGTTGGGGTCGGGGGGGGGGGGGTTGGGGTTTTGGGGTCTGGGGGTTCTGGGATTTTGGGGTCCTGGCGCTTGGGGGTTTCGGGGTTTTGGGGGTTTCGGGGTGTAGGCTTGAGGGCGATGCCGCCATGGTTACTTCTTGCGTTCTCTGGACCTATAGGTAACATCGTCTTTGCCTTTTTTTTGTGGACGTGGGGGGGGAGGGTCAAGTTTAAGGTTGAGGGTTTAGGGCTCAGGGGAGGAGGACGGGGGGAGACACATGCACAGGCTGCACCAGCTCGCAAGTGAGTTTTATGTTTGCGGTTTCGGTTTGGAGGTTTAGGATTTTCAGGCTTAGCCAACCTCTCAGTGTGACATGGGCTTGACAGTCTATTGACTTTCCAGTCGTAATCAGCAGATGTTGCGATGTGATGGTCGCTCGCTGTCTAGTAGGGCACCGAGTCCATGTTCTAGAACTGAGACACCTAGTCGGTGCGCCAGGAGACGCATGACTAGAGAAGACCATTGGGCTTTAGGAGTCGAGGTTCAGAAAGCCTAAACCCTAAAGCCTAAATACCCTAACAATGCTGAAGTCCCTCGGAGCAACTGAGCGGTGTGCCAGTTAACGTGGTCCAGCACGCACGGGTTCAGACCTTACTCGCGTCTGCAGAAACTCAAGACCCCAAAGCTTATTTTGCTGGAGGGTTTAGAGGGTTTAGAGGGTTTAGAGGGTTTAGAGGGTTTAGAGGGTTTAGAGGGTTTCGAGGGTTTAGGGTTCAGAGGTTAGGCTGCTGAAAACAGTCAACCCTCATATAGGACTCTCCTGAGGTACGAGTACCGTAGGGAAGAAGGAGGTTTGGACCCCCCAAAATCCGAAGCCACAGGATCGAAGGACTTAGTAGCTGAACCATGGGTCCGGAAGTCCCTACCTGGGACACTTTTTACCTACAGTTTTCTGGGTTCTGCCTACTAACGAAAGGGGTAGTTGCTACGTACTGAACTGTAGGCAAATAGACCCCAAACCCTAAACCCTAAACCCTGAAACGCCGAAACTCAGAAGACTCTGCGGAGCAGTGAACACTTGAGGCACGCACGCCACTCCTGCGGATGACAGGGTTTAGAGTTTAGGGTTTAGGGTTTAGGGTTTAGGGTTTAAGGTTTCGGGTTTAGGGTTCAGGGTATAGGGTTGAGGGTTTAGGGTTTAGGGTTTAGGGCCATAATTTCGGGCTCTTCGTAGACAATGTGGAAGTGTCTGAGTGAGTACGATTAGGTGCCCCAGATCATCCCGCAAAGATTGCACAGGCGGATTTGAGGTGCCTAGTTCTCTGACTCCCTACTTAGACTACGTAGTAGCAACTGGTGTGAGAGCTTGGAGGGTGTTAGGATTTCGGAAGGACAGGAGTTCGAAGCTTGAAGGTGCTAATTCGTAAACCCTACCCACTTGCCCCTTGTATTAATCCCGTCCCCCGATCATTCAAGGGGCGGCCCCACGCCCTCCCCCCTAGGTTTTTGTCCTCATGCCATCTTTTGGGATAGGGTTTAGACTGGCTTGGAGGTTTGTGAGGCCCTCACCCCCGCCTCCCCCCTCCAATTCGGAATAGGGATAAACAGGCGGGATCCGTTTCAACAGGATTTTCCGGAAAGTGTTTTGATTATTGCACAAGGGGGAAGCGATTAAACGCCCGCCCCCCTGATATAGAGAGCCTCAACACAATGCAAGCCAATCTAAACCCTATCCCAAAAGATGGCACATGGATAAATGCATCCCCCTGATACTAAAAACCCATTTCGAGTCTCTATTTGGGGAGGTGGGGGGGGGGGGGGGGCGGGGGCCGCCCGATTAATAATAGGGGGAAGGGATTTAAACCCCAAACAACTTGCAACAAGCCCATTTGAGGCATCATGGCCTGGGCTTTTAGGGCTTCAGGGTCCAGCCTGTTGGCTACACAGAGGTGCCTTGGTGCAGTGTGACTAGGGTGTAGGGTTTTTGTGGTTTAGGTTTTAGGGTTTAGGGTTTCGGGTGTAGGGCAAGTTTTCTACAAGTACCGGGCGCCTGGGCCAGTCGAATCTCGTCCAGCATGCTCCTCCAGACCTGGGTCGAGGGCCTAAACTCACCCCTGTAGGCTTGTTAAACACTGAAATCTCGAGGGTTTAGGGTTTAGGGTTTAGGGTTTAGGGTTTAGGGTTTAGGGTTTAGGGTTTAGGGTTTAGGGTTTAGGGTTTAGGAAGCCCTACACTTAGACCACTTAGACCCTAATAACCCTATAAATCTACGAGCCCTAGCCCAGCGAGGCGGAGAAGCCAGCGCTTGCAGGTCTCAGGTTTCTGCAGACCAGGGGCAATGGAGATTCTCTGACAGATGGAGGCCAACCGACCCTTGCAAACCAACCCTAAACCCTAAACCCTGAAACCCCTGAAGCCTTGTGATTAAGCCCTACAACCCCTTGAGCCGCAGAGTTACCAGCCCTGACATCCTATCCTTACAGAACAACCCTTCCAAAACCCCAAACCTTAAACCTAAACCCTAAACCCTAAACCTTAAACCTTAAACCTTAAACCTAAACCCTAAACCCTAAACCCTAAACTCACAAGACCTACGAAAACCCGAGCTCAGAGCCCCGGAAGCCACGCCCCATCTGGTGTCGTGCCGGGCGCCCCGCAGAGGAGGCATTGTCGCCCAGGTTCGGGTCCTCCTCTGAAGGGGAAACAGGGTTTGGGATCTTCGGCAGCTGGGATGTAGGCTTAGGGTTTAGGGTTTAGGGTGTAGGCAGCCAGGATTTAGGGTTTAGGGTTTAGGGCTTGTAGGGTTTAGGGTAACCATTCAAGAGTTGAACAAGGCTCCCCTCGTTGTGAGCCTCACTTTGTTGGAGCTCTGCTGGCCTGCTCATGATGCGAACCTTCAAGCCAAGAATCCTGTTTGCTTTCCGTGATTAGGCACAGTGCTGCTGAGGTCATAGGTGGTCTGAGACATGAGGGGCCTCTGGGCCATTCAAGTCTTGCCTACAGACCTAAACCTTCTAGATACCTGAAGTCCTATTCACCGGCCTTCGCAAACCAGGCTCTGAACACAGAGCTTAGGGTGTGGGTTGAAAAATATCATCAAAGCTTGCCTCCTTGTGTTTAGGATCAAGCTTTGGGTATGGTTTACCTCGACCACCTCCACAACTAGCCAAAAAAATCGCGGCCTACATAGACCCTGCATTGTGACCTCAAACCTCGAACCCTAAGAACCCCAAGAACCTCAAGAACCCCAAGAACCCTAAGAACCCTAAGAACCCCAACAGCCCTAAGAACCCTAAGAACCCTAAGAACCCTAAGAACCCTAAGAACCCTGAAACCCTGAACCTGATGAGCATCTCTACAGTCTGGGAGACAAACCCTACGGGTTCAACCCTAAGGGTTCAACCCTAAGGGTTCAACCCGAAGCGCAGCACCCTTAACCCTCGCAGCACCCTTAACCCTAAAACCCTTAGCTCGAAGCCCTAACAAAAACCTTTTGGCGCAGTGGGTGTAGGGCCTGGCCTACAAAAAACAAGTTCTCATTAAGGGTTGTGAGTTTTCTCCTGAACCCTAAACCCTAAACCCCCTCAAGAAATGCAGGGTTATTTGCAGCCCAAGCTCCACATTATCCACGGTACCCTCCGACTCCTACGCGGACGGGTGGGTACGGAGCTTGGTGTGGCGCGTCGGGTTGAGGGTTTAGGGTTTGGGGTTTGGGGTTTGGGTATCGGGGTTTGGGGTTTGGGGTTTGGGGATTGGGGTTTGGGGTTTGGGGATTGGGGTTTGGGGTTTAGGTGTAGAATTTACCCGAAGGTGTATAGGTAGTCAGAACAGGCACCCCCCTCCAAATCCTCCCCCCAAGCCCAAAGCCGTTTTCGGACCCCTTTTTTTGCCTCAAATGGGTACCCCCCCTAGGTGAGCAGGGTCCGCAAGCGGATGGTTCGCCAGGACCAGAGGCAGTTGCAGCCCTTCCCAGCAGGGCCCCCCCCCTTTTTCACCCCCTTCAACCCCCCACCCCCCCCCCAACACCCCCCCACATCCACCCACCCCCCCCCCCCCCCCCACCCCCCCACCCCTACCCCCCCCCCTCCCACCCCCAACCCCCCCACCCCCCCCCCACCTCCCCTACCCCCCCCCCTATCCCCCCCCCTTTGGCGCTTGCTCACATAAGGTGTTTGTGAAAGGCGGAGTTTTCCTGCTCCGACGCGCTGGCTTGAGGGCCGGAAGCTCAACTGGTGTGAGCACGGCCGCAAATCCGCCGAGGCCTCGGGCCGGAGGTGTATAGGTTGTCAGAACAGGCACCCCCCTCCAAATCCTCCCCCCACACCCAAAGCCCTTTTTCGGACCCCTTTTTTTGGCCTCAAATGGGTACCTCCCCTGGGAAACCGCGGTCCGCAAGCGGACGGTTCGCCAGGACCAGAGGCAGTTGAAGCCCCCAAAACCCTCAACCCCAAAGCGTGAACCTTGAGCCCTAAACGAACCCTCAACCCCAAACCCCAAACCATAAACCATAAACCCGGAACCCTCAACCCTCAACCCTCAACCCAACCCTTATTGCTTGGGGTCCAGCGACTTGGGCGCTGCGGAATCACCATGCTCACGCGGATGCGCTGGGCCGGGCCGAGGCGGGTCGCGTAGCGTTAAAATTAGATGCCCTAAATGCCGAAACAAAACTCCTGTCTTGGGCTGCCCATGTGTTCTGGGAATGAAACACCACGACAATCACCACAACCCACAACAACCATGAAGTTACAACGAAAAAGTATGCACTCAATGCCGCATGTGTGAATGAACAACCAAAATTCTCCTCTTCCTACAACAACTACTACGACTCCTGCCCATAATTAGACACCCTAAACCCCTAAACCCTTAAACCCCTAACCCCTAAACCCCTAAACCCCTAAA